TAAGGGGAAGGTGGAGAATGCGACGGCGGGTGACAGGAAATGATAACTGATAGGGCCTGATAGAGAACGATGCAGTTGTTGTTCAATCAAACGCTGGAGCCTCTACACCACGAAATTATGGAGTTTTAGTGATAGCGACATTGATGAGGAGGAGAGCTCGGCGTCAGCCGTGCGATCCGACTGGTTCATTTTATAAGCCACATCGCATTCAATAGGCTACTGCGATTCTGATTAGAAGTAGAATGCCCCATCCCACAAAGGTACTGAGCAACGGCGAAAACTTTATCCTTTATTATTTTAACACGTCACTTTCACAAGCTGAAGTTCTCGGAATGCTTGACTCACCTTGATGAGAACGTGGTGCTTGAGTCTCATTAATGTATCGGTCCGTATGACTCCTCTCTGAAACTGGATGTGTTCTTTCATTTACTATTAATCAGATGATAAATAATGAGAACATCGCATAAATATTTTCGAAACGATCAGAGAATAAAACTAGTTCGCACTGCATTATTCATCAAATACGATGCGGGAACTAAATCAGAACCCTCTAACTACGTTAGACACTGCAGCTCGCGCGCCCTATGGTACGTGACGTTCAGTTTCCCAGACTCCACCCTATACATTGCGCATCCCAGCGATGAAGTGGGCGTGGCTACTTACTTTATTTTAACTTGGTATAGAATGATTTGGAATTGGAGGATTGTAAGTGAGAAATTTCTATCAGGTACAAGTGTACCCCATCTTGCACTGAACAGACTCTTAGTTGCAAGTGCTCCAAAACTGCAATATCCCTTCAGAAGCGCAGCAGTCGTTACGTTTAGATGAAGTACGTAACCACGGACTGTCAATCTCTGGGGTATGATTTTAGATGATGCTGGCCGTCACACGCCATGGAATTTCTAGCATGTTGGCTTCACGTCTGATTTTCCATGACAAAATGGACGAAGAAGTGAATGAACCCATTTCAGTACTTGTGAAAAAGTCATAATTACCTGACCAACAATCGAAGCGTTAGGTGTGTGATTGTCGGCTATTTCATAGGAATCCACTTCCGTCATGGAGCTTGGACTTAACTAAAAACTCGATCAGAATTGAACAAGGAAAACAATTGAAATCATGAATTCAGAGCAGAGCGAAGAAGGAATGATTCAGTGCTAAACCTTCTTATGCATGCACTGACCTCAATGGTCTTAGGAGAAACGTCGTAGAACAATTCCGAGTCGTGAGTGATTGTACTGTCGCGGTCAGTCGCAGACACACTCGGATCCCCATGCAGTATCTCGTACGGAAAAAAAATCATTTTTTAGCGGTGTGCGTTGAATTTGAACTACGTAATGGTAGGGGTTTCATGTTAATACGCAGAATAACTTACATTGAATCGATAATCGTCAACATCAGCTGAGAATTCGCTGACGTACCGCATTACTGTTGCGGTATTGTTATTGATTCAGAATGCAATCTGAATTCCCGTCAGACCTGAATGTGGTCTACATTCATTTGAATCTGCTTAAATTGACAAAAAATCGATTGGAAAGGAACCGGCTCAATTGACTGGTTGAAGATTATCCATTTTTCGCCAAGAACGACCACGAATAGCCCGTAGAGCTTCAGTAAGTTTCAGCATTTAGGAAGTACCCTTTCCGTTAGTTTGAAAATGCATGCGCATATATTTTGATATGAGATATCACGTAATTATTATGTTGCAAAGAAGTCGTAGTGAATTCAAAGAGATGGTGATCGCCGGTAAGAAGCCAGTCTCGGGTCACGCCACTGACGCATCGGGAGTATTCGCCCTCGCTGGAAGGTCCCAAATGGTTAGTGACCGCGCTACAGAGCGCCACCTCAGAATGAGATGAAGGGAGCTGTTGGTGTTAGCGGGTAACAAAGAAAAATAAGAAAAGAAGAGAAGAACCTCACAGTGAACCATAGGGAAGAATAAGAACAATGAGCGCAGTTCGGCAGAATGAGAAGGATGTGCATTCTGGTGATTTTTATCAAAGTATAAGGTCATTGTGTGGAAACCTGTAAGCTTGTAGGTCGACGAATTAGTCAGTTCCCATTTTCCATGCCATCGTTTTTGTTCTTCAGTACTACGAAGTAATTAAAGTTGGGAGTGGCGAGCCGGGCAAGTGGGGGCGCTTACCACGCCCCAACGGTACGGGACGAACACCAAGGGATAAAATGTAGCCAGCTTTGTTTGCAAGATACGAACCACTAAACGTGTACCTCGGCCGCCCTCCCCCCCCCCCCCCCGACCGCGAAATCAATGAAGCTACCACTCAGCGTTCATGTACAGGCTATTGAGTGCCTTGTCCGGAAAGTTCTCAGCGTTTTGTGCATATTTTTTGTACATTCACTGCTGATTAAAAACTCATTCTGCCTTGCTTCTCAGTAGCACATCCTGTAGAGAATTTCTTGCGCTATCTGATGGTATAATTGCCGTTTCACCATTGCTTGATAAACCCCTTTTTTCAAGATTTTTTCAAGCATGTGAAAAGAGCACTTTCGGACGATTTTTTCTTCGACTATAAATTGGGGCAATCCGCAATCGAAACAGCTCAACAAATTAACCAGGTGTGGGGCCCAATAGTGCTAGAGAAAGCACTGTGCGGCAATGGCTCAACAAATTTCGTTCTGGAGATTTCAGCCTTGAAGATGAACCTCATAGCGGTCGACCTAAAGCAATATCTGACGAGGATTTAGGGGGATTTTGGAGGCTGACCCATCCCAAACAGTTCGAGAGATTGCAGAAAGCTAGGCGTTGGCAAATCCACTGTTGCAGATGGTCTGGAACGCATGGAAGGTGAAAAAACTCGACACCGTCGCGTCCCCCAATCGAAAGACCGCAGGAATCTCGGCACGTCTCGAGTTCCTTCTGGCCATTGCTTTTGCGCAGCAGAAACAACCTGTTTTAGGGCCGAATCGTCACTTGTGATGAAAAATGGGTCATGTATGATAACAGGAGATGTTCCGGACAGTGGTTGGATTTCGACGGTAACTCGCGAGGTAATTTTTAGAAAGTCCCCGGAACGGCCTAACGAACAAAAGATCGGTCACGGGCTTGTGTCATGGCGGCTTGTGTGATCCATCTATAGACGTTTTTATCACCTAAGGCCAAACATCACAGCAGAACCCTACTGTTAAGAAATCGACGAATTGTACCGAAAATTTTGTCAGATGCCACCCAACACTTATCAAAAGAAAGGGTCCGATTCCTTTGCATCAACGCCCGCCCACACGTTTCACAAATCACTATCCATAAATTGAACAAACTGGGGGTTGAAGTTCTACCTCAACCGCCATGTTCTTCAGACCTTTCGCCAACCAACTATCACCTTTCCAACATCAGAAACTACCATTGCTCGGAAAATACCAACAATCAGGACCAGGCAAAAAAGCCTTAGTGGATTTCGTGAATTTTCGACCACCCAGTTTTTACTTTGATGGGATTTCTCGACTGCTGTCACATTGGCAAAAGTGTGCTGATTCGAATGGTGCCTATTTCGATTAAATCCGATGAGTATTAAAAAAGTTACGATCGTTTAAAGTGAAACACCCAAAACGCTGAGAACTTTCCGGACAACCTAATATATCCGCATTCATTAAACGATTCTGAATCGAAGTAGAATGCGTGCCGTCCTGAAAAAGAAGATAGATGCGTACGCGACCTTGGTCTTCAGACTTTTCTCCTGTTTCAGGGATAAGAGTATCCCCCAAACAGCGAGCTTACAAGAGAGAGTTCCGGAAACGTTCAATGGACTCGGGCGAAAAGGGGTCTCTGACAGTCAAACTTCTTGCACTTTGTGTGCTTCAAGGGAATCAGAGAGCTTACAGAATGAGACGGCGCGGACGCAAGTGAGATTATGTCAATCACTAGCCAGTGCATCTTCAGATCAGGAGAATTTTTCGCGATGTTTTGTTCCTGCTCCTCGGCAACCAAAATAACAAATATAGGCAATGAAAAAATGCTGCAAAGATCGTTAACCTTCGATAATAGTCCGAGGATACGTCTAGAAGAAAAAAAATATTCAAGAAAGCTATAGTGCACACATGGGAAAGCTTCCGAGCCCCAAAAAGTTCATGTCCGCTTCGGTGTGGTAGACATGAAAATGTTGCGCTGGACGGTCGGACCACGCGTTTGGACCGCCTTTGCAACGGTGTCATAGCTTAGGGGGGAAAGGTCCTGAAGGATGCCTCGAGCAGCGCTAGTAGGACGCAAACATGGATACAGTCAGCGATCATCCCGAACAGGCATTCAATTAGAAGAAGCGGCGTCACAAAACCAGGAAGAGCAGACCACGCCACGACGAGGGGAAAATGCTGAAAAAGATGATGACGACGACAACTTCCCACTTCCTGGAAAGTGTGTAGTGAGTTGTTCGCATATAGAAGAGCCAAGATTTTCAGAGGAAACTTATGTTGTTTCGGTGTTGAAAAGGTCCCAAGAAGCATGTGGCGAAACGGTTTCGATGAGAGTTCAAACCGATGCTGAAACATCAAGTGAAGGAGAGGAATTGAACCTTCAAAATTCTGAGAAGGTCTTTTCTAGAGCGTTGAAAAGGTCGTGCTGACAGTTCCGACTAGGAATGACCTTTTGGCTCTGAACTAAGATGTTCCACAGCGCTATGTACGGTTCTATTCAAAGGGAGGCGCACACCTGCGTGATTCAGAGCGAGTTGACTCACACAGGGAAGATATTTGCAAACTCTCAGGCACACTAGATCATGAACCGCTTAACTCCCTTTCCACAGCACGTCTGTCGACTAGTCTACACATGAAGTCAAAGCACTAAATAAATTATAAAGAAGCTGAAAAGTTGGTTGAAGGGGAACCGCGAGATGGAAATATTTAGGCAAATTCACGCTCCAAGGTTTCGTCCGAGGTACAGATTGCGTAGAAAGAGAAATGGGTTTGCTGCATCAATACAAGATCAGAGGATAAGAATGTGCTGTAGGTGTAAACGACCTCCTTACAACTACGAAAGCAGTTGAAAAAGACCACTTGAACTTGTGAACTATTAGAAAACAACCAAACGGAATAGTCGTGTTTTGTATGAATAGTGCCGTGTGAGCCCCTGAATAATGAAAGCGCGCAGAACAACCGCTATTCCCCATTCCAGGAGGAACACAAGGCATGAAGTGAAATAATTCTCTGAACATTCCACTGCCATCAAATTTTCCAGGTCATTAAGCTATGAATCGCAAATAGCTTTTCAACATCCTTGCTCTGTGTATCTGCGATTTTGGCCAAGCGGTTTTAGCCAAGTTTTCAAAAAGTGCAGCCAAAATCAAGATTTGAAAGTGTCATCTCTTTGAAGGAAGAATTTTAATTAGCCTACGTGCCAATGCGCTCTTGGCAATCGATAGCTGTGATGAAAAATCAGTCGCTCAACTCGACTCTCCTCTACTAACTCTAGTTGACCCCTCAAAGACAAATTCCACGCTCATTTTCGAAGACGATTCCTTCAGGGTGAGTGGGTCCGAAGCTGCAGTACCGTCAGGGCACATGATTCATTGTTTGACCCCCTTTATCATCCTACCTACCCAGGAAAGACATATGAGACAGGAAAACCACGAGAAGCAAACAACCTCTCTGAAGACCAGAACGCGAACACGACCCCTCCTCTCTCTCACCACAACGAGCAAATGCGAACCACGGCCCTTTTATGCGTCGCTTGAAACAAGAAAAACGCAACTAACAAAATTTTTTTTCTGACCGACTAATAGCGATTGATTTCCAAGTTTAGATTTTCAGGGTGTATACAATACCCCCGAAGATCGGTTTATTGGCCGTATACCCCCGAAAAATTGAGCGTTAGATAATTAATAATTATATTGGCCGACCCCGGCGCCACGCGTACGCAGCAACGCGCGCTTTGTTCGGGGTCGAGGATAAAACGTACATCTGGTCAAAAGCCGTATAACAGCGAAGCTTAATTGACGTCCTCGGACTTGAGTAAAGCTGAAACGGCGGCTTACGGTATGCCCGATTGTGTGCGTTCACGAAGCGACATTTTTAACTTCACGCGCGATTTTCGGGGGTACTGTACGCAGCCTGACAACCTGGACTTATAATCTTGTCCAAATACGATCCCCTCGCCGGGCGACTAAACACGAGCCCTGTCGGAGAATCTCTAATGCTGATGCGCCCTGAATAGTGTGTCACTTTCTCAGCTCGAAAGTGCACGGGAGCGGGGCTGGAGGGTAGAAATAACTGTGTGCAGTTCCACTGGTACTCGGCTGTGCATGTACTGATCCCGCAAGCGAAGGCAGATCAAAGGCTATTAGGTATACGCAGAGA